GACCCTAGCGCCCCTGGCGGCTGTTTGTGAAACTAACAGGCCGTTGACTGTATGGGCTTATCCCTGCTCTCTGTAAGCGCGTCTAGGGACAAATAATAGTATGGGCAGATTGTAGAGAGTGCAAGCTAATGACGAATACCTATAATGAATACAATATATTGTCACAGGGGCCCAGGAACATTCTTCAAGTTGGGGTGCAAGCCCAAAATACCTGACATGACGCATATGAAATAGTAGCGTAGTCAGGGGGCCCAGGAGGCACGTGCCATCTAGTCCCCCCCCCTATCGCATTCATAGGACCTATCGGGTCGGAGGGGCTCTGTGGCACCAGTTTACCGCTCAGGGTCTATGCTGGCCATATTTCGATTCAGAAAGAATAGGGCTCGTAACAGCACCTCGTGAGTCCAAAGAAGCCTCACTAAATTGTCCATGAGGGTTACACGCCGGCTTCTGAAGGCTACTGGCGGCCTCTGAGGGCCCTTTACCGGCCTCCTATGGCCGCTAGTGTGCCTCTGAGAGTCCTTGCCGGCCCAAGAGGGGCCATATCTAGGGCCTTACGCCAACCTGTAATCAGTAATGGCCTCACACCAATGTCTCTGACGGCCCCATTACGACGACTGTGAGACTGAGGGCCCTCACTGGTGCTTCTGAGAGCCCACCCGGCCATAAAGACCCTTGCGGTACCAACTGACCTCTGAGGGTCCACGCTGACTATATTTCAGCTGAGAAAGACCTCACAGGTCTCGTAGGAGCACCTAATGAGCCCCTAAGTACCCACACTAAGATCTCCGTCAGGGTCTACGCCGGCTTCTGAGGATCCCATAACGGAGACCGTGAGGGCCCTCAGCAGGGCCTCTGAGGGTTCACAACCAGCACCTCTGAGAGACCCACACCAGTGGTTCTAAGGGCCCATAAGGACACCACTGAGGGTCCCCCAAGCCAGTGCCACACCATTTATGCAACCCTATATTGGTGGCTCTGAGGTACCCACACCTGCGCCTGTGAGGGTTCGGCAAAAGCATATCTGACGGCCACCTACCTGCAACTCTGAGGGCCCTACACCAGAGACTGAGGGCCGCACTGGCGTCTCAGAGTACCTTGTCGGTATCTAAGGACCCCACAGGGCTTCTGAAAATGCCGCCGGCCTCTGTGGGCCCCTTGCCGGTCTGAGGTCCCCCTCCCCGGTCGTTGAGGGCCCCCTGCCGACTTTTAAAGGGTTCGCACCAGCAGCTCTAAGGGCCACACACCCACATGTAACGGACCCACACCAGTGTCTCTGAGGGTCCACAACGGCGTCTGTATTCTGTGAGGACCCTCACCGGCGCTTATGAGGGATTCACACTAGCACCTCTGAGGGGCCACACGGGCGTCTGTGAGGACCCCACACCAGTGCCTCTAAAGGCCCCTAATTGGAGGCTCTGAAGGCCCTGCATCGGTGATACTGAGGGTCCTACCAAAGGCACAACACAAGCCATTAGTCTCCTTCTGAGTCCCACACGCCGCCCTCCCACCATAGGCGGCGGAACGGGGAGGGCACCGGGGCACCGTGCCCCCTCTGATTTGGGCATTTTAACATTAGCCCTATGGGCGTTGCATGGAAAGAATGGGACCAAAAGTCGGCAGTGTCCCCCCCCCCTCCTCTTAATTGAAGGTGTTCCGCCGCTACTGCCTCCCACCGGAGCGAGTAAACCTGTATCAATCAACGACTTTACCACCGTTGTACGTCATAATGTTCTCATCACGCCAAATCAAATACCATCCGGAACCAAAATGATCCAGTAAAAAATCTGACCTACCAAAGTTATGATCAAGTTCAGATAAAATCAAAGTGGGATGACAATAGCAGGTGTTCTTAAATCGATGCCGAATCAGCAGAAACCATTCACATGCAAGAGAAATACCTTGTGCTGATGTTTATATAAAACAGACATGTAGGTTCATAAAAGGGAGCAGAGATCCTTCATCGTTGCATCATTGTTGAGGGGGCGGCGCCCACTCGGCTCTCAAGTTGGAGGGGGGGGGGGGTAAGCGCCCCCACTGCCCCCCCCCCTGTTCCCCGGGGTCTATGCAGTGAACGACGCTACAAAAAAAAAACATGTGACACCTAATAGCAGGCACTATAAACATGCGCTCGTACGTATCCCGTCAGACCAGGACGGGGATCGGGGGTAGTACTATGCAATATACATTAACACAGAACTATTTCGTGCTTTAAGATGCATAACATCACATTTTCACCAACATTCTGAGTGCCAGACAAGCCAACAGCAAGGCGTCATTTCGGTAAAATGCATTTAATGATGATCGTAAGCTCACAAAGCATAGCGAGCGTGTTAGTTCAAAACATTGCCGCTAGGGGCGCTGAGGTCGCTAATGCTGAGAGATAGGCCAAAGTGTCGGCGGTCGGCGCCGCATGGGTGTTAATATTTGGGGGAAATAAAAAATGCCACACGGTTTCTACGTGTCTGGGGCACGATAAAATCAGTGGAGCACCATGTTTTGCGAAAAAAGTGCCCAAAATGACACACCCTACTGTGAGGTAAGAACCTCGGAGGTCAGCAGTGGACTGGGAGGTCAGAGGGGAGGGGTGGACTGTGAGGTCAGCACAGAGTGGTGGACAGGGATCAGCACAGGGGTGGGACTGTGAGGTCAGCAGCGAGTCTGTGAGGTCAGAGGGAAGGGTGGACTGTGAGGTCAGAGGGCTGGACTGCGAGGTCAGCGGGGAGGGTCGAGGGATGATCTGCGAGGTCGGCTAGAAGGGGACGGGGCGGCGGGGTGCCAGCCCCGGAATAGTCGCCGTCACCTCGGGCGCCGCTCTATAAACGATCCGCGGCGGCGCGCTGCACGGACAGGTGGCGGTGACGTCACGGGACCGGCCGTGACGTCATTGGACCGCCGCGGCTTCCGCCCTGTCTGGTCAGTGGCCTCGGCAGGGCGGCGGCCAACGCGTGACAGCAGGCTTTGTGGTTCATGGTCATTAGATTTAAACACTGAACTGGTCTCCAAGATTAAGTCCAAAAAAGCTCCCGCGCTAAAAAAAAAAAGTCTCCGCCGCCTAACCTTAGCTTGAGTGGCGGGACATTTTACCCTTGGATTAGTTTTTGGGAAGGCGTGTGAATGAGGCATAAGCATATGCAGGATTTTTATGTCAAAGTCCTAAGTGACAGGTAATTTTTGTAACATTATCATTATATATAATAACTACTCATAGGTTTGTAAGAAAACGGGGCCTGTTTCGGACGAATGTCACCATAAAAGGTAAATATCTCGCCTTTTTAAATAAAATAATTTTTTTAACTGAGTTAAAAAAGCTACCCTGATCAAATATTACACATTCATTTAGTGGATCAATGAAAAGACTTCTAAAGCGACAAACATCTTGGATGTTTCTATTGACAACACGCATGTGCCACTAATTAACATGACCTTTTCAGAACATATCATGAGGCTGACCTAAGGCTTTTGTATAGGTATGTTGCTTTTCAATCGACGCAGCAAGTGTCGCATCCATTGCACGTATACTTCTAAGCGATCACCGACTACCTTGTTCGAAATAATTCACAAAAAAAAATTCGTCGCGTGACCTGACATCTAGGGCTCCAAGCAAAGCAATCATGTTCTAAACATCCCGCTCTCGGCCACAAACCGTCCGCCAACCGCCGTCCGTACGACTTGAGGACGTCATACGCCGACACCACAAGCCACCATCGATCTGAAGCGTCGTTCTGCGCGGTACAGACAGGCCGGCGCGTGTCGTGCCCATCGGCGGTTGGACGGGGTACACCGACGACCCGCGGGCTGCCGAGGAAGGTAGCTCTATTGCTGAGAAGAGGTCGGAACAGCGATATGGCGACGACAGAAGGCCAATAAAAGGCCTGTGTTAGGACTGCAGCTGGCTTTTGATGGAACATGCATTAATACTTCCAGGATGTTTTCTTCTGACAATGCAATGGGCAGAACAGAACGTCCATGACATGCCCCAGAAAGTGGATAGTTTCGATGGCCTGTCTCTCTCTAAACTCCCCGTAGCATTCACAGGCGTTATGCTCGAGCCAATTGTATGTAGCAATTGGCCAGCTCACGTCCCCGCCCGGTCGGCAGTGCACAAAGGTGAGGTCCCTGTCGTAAATACCCGGAGCTCCGACGGACGTCACCTGACGCGTCTCCGGCAGTGCGCCGGTGTGTGTTTTATTTTGGTGCGCGTCGCGCGACCAGGGTGCGTCGTCACTCGGCGCGCGCTCGCCGGCATTGCCGCACGGCGCGCCGGCTGATCAATACGGAACGGGTGGCGCACGGCGGCGTGTTGTGGCGCGGTCAGCGGCAACAGCGGCGCGCCTGTTTGCTGACTGGACGCGGGCAAACAGAGGTCAGCGCGCGGCCTCAGGTGACCGCCGCCGGCAGGCCCCACATCGGCCCTCTACCCCGTGCTCTGTGTGCATTGCAGTCAGTCATGGCCGGGCCGAACCATGCACTGGACACACGGGAGGAGCACAAGACCATAGAATTGCTAGGGACCAGGTATAAAAAAGAGAATCAGCATGAATTCGAGAACACGATTGTCTTCCTCTTCCGTACGGACAGCGGCGACAAAGAGAGACGGCACCCGTAGCCGGCACGGCGGCCTTATAACGCGGTACGGACCATCCGTCCCCGGTCAATATGAGGACGACGCAGCGTCAATTATCAAACTCGTCCGACCAGAGAAAATTAGCGGGAGTGACAAACGTCGTCGACGTCATAGAATGGTTTGATTTCATTTCCACGGTAATATACATATCTACCTAAGCCTGCAGTGACCTAATTTCGGTCTTCTCCCTGAAAAGATTTCGCTACGGCGAATCGAATAGGTCGTTTTCTCGCACACGAATCTCACGTTCACAACCCACTCTCAAGATAGATGGAGTGGCAAGTGGAGCTATCTCTCGCACAATCTGTTGATTTCACTGAAAGGAATTGCAATGTTCAACATAGCACACCGGTTCAACAGCACAGGGACTTACCTTTATCTGGGTGGAAGATGCGTCGCAGCTTCCCGAGAGCCTCTTTGAAGGCGCGCACATCGTGGGTGAGTGCCACGATGTCCTCCTGTTCGACCAGGTGGGAGTCGGCTGATCCCTCGCTGCTGATACTGTGCAGCGACACACTGCAACACAGCATGACAAAATACTGTCAGCGAACACATTAATTCCTGCATGGTGAACATAAGTGCAACAATGATGCATACTAAGGCGGGACGCAGTGAATGAACTGGCCCCTCCACTGCAGGCTTAACCATCGCAAAACTAGGCACAATCAGCCGGTCAGTTCTCACAAAATTTTCCGACTTGCAAAAAGAAGTAGGTAGAGCATAATGTTGTTGTCCATTCATATCACATTTATCTAACAAAAAGAACGGAAAATTCAGAGGGTGAATAATGGGGACGTATCAGAACATAATGGGATCGGATCAGCAATACACACAGTTTGCGCCTTTAACTATAATATATTGGGCCTTTCAAAGGCCTCTTTGAATCATCTTGATTGTCATCTTCGATCAGTCACATGGGCAAGGCTGCTGAAGCATGGATCTATCGATTGTTAAAATTGGATTGACATAATCATTATCATAAGCACACCTTCCTGTTATCTTTCCGAGAAATATTTTCAGCGACGAACAATCAATCACATGCTTGGATGGTCTTTATTAAGTGGCGGCGAGATTTAATGAATAGTTAACAGTTCCGTGCAAACCCGGAGATTGATTATGCCTCCGCTGGACAGATGTTGCCGAATCGAACACTCGACACTGATGTGGGTTGATTTGATCAAGCGCTAATGCAGATTCACTTTGACCAAGGACCAAGACGCGGTCCAATGGACAGATGAATGGAAAAATGACCGACGGGATTGCCACTGGTCTCAAGGTCCATGCCTCAGGTGCTATGTTATGCAGAACATGATAAGCCCTAAGTTTGACGTTTATTTTCGCTTGATGAGAGCACATCATAAGTAAGCAACGAAAAACACGTTTATAGCTTCCAAAGATAACAAGATATCAGGTCCATAGGAAAAGGTTGTGTCAGACGAAAACATCGTTTCACAATGTATCCAAAGATGAAGTTTCAGCTCCTTGAAATTTCGGTTGCTTTTGGTCACAAGTCCAGTCCCCCTGGACATACAAAGTAGGTCACGGTCCCTCCCCATCCCTCTGGATCCCGTGACTGGTCAGGGAAGCTGCTCGGCGCTCACATGATGTGTCGGAATGTGCTGCAGGGGTGCCGGGGCGTTTGGGATGAATGGGCCGTGTGCTGCACAGCTCGCCTGCCAGGAGGACGGAGTGTGAGGCAGTTGGCGGCTGGCCGGCCGGTGACAGGTGCGAGACAGCTCACCCCATTCGCATTCCACCAACCCGGTCAGCCAGAGCGCTGACTCAAAACTTACCTTGACTGAGGACTTTAAAAAGAAAAATACAGGACTGCATTGCAATCCATATAGCTGCGGATACGCATGGTCACTATCGTAATTGGCTTTGGACATTGGATAACATTTATTTCTGAACGCAGCTCAAATGCAAATATTATACCTACCGCGGTTTTTAGCTGACCACTATATAGACTTAATGATGCCTTTGAAATTGATATAGGAACTCGAGGGTCGAGATATTGATGAGTCGCGAAGGTGGTCTGTGACGTATGTTAAATTCAAGACACCAATATTTAGCATCCTACAGCAATTCCGCGGAATAATAAAATGTTCGCTGAACAATAAACTTTGGACTGGTTTACATTCGCACAATGTCGCTAAGTTGGAAGAAAGACATTTTAAATGAAAATCTCGAGTCTTTAGGTGAATGTGGTTTGCTTATTATAATCGCTGACGTGGCCCTCGGTATATCGCTCGAGTCGATAACGGTCCATCAATCCCCCTAAAAAGGTATAAGGCACTGTACAGTTTATCTTCGCTTTATCTCGAAACGTTCGAGAGGCTCTTGACATTGTTGACATTGGTTAAGTGTCGAATGTTAAGAGGTTCCTGGTGTTCAAGACCTCACCTATAATGACAGGCACAACAAGTGTATAGTGATACAAAAAAAAAAATAGGAATTATTTATTGTTATTGAACTACCTTCCGATGTTAAAAAGCTTTTATGTATGAAGCTGCATTGGGTTATAATGATCAACATCGTTCGTACCTCAATAAGAGCGTTGAAGCATTCTACTATATTTTTTATAGTCGGAACTGTTTAATACAAATTTTACATCATAGGTCAAGGTATGTCAGCAAAAACAAAAACCAACCAACTAAAACAAAAGCTTTAACCGTCTTAATGATAGAGTATCACAAGCATAAAGCACGAGCAGATAGTCGCTACCAGTCCGCCTGCTCTGACGTTCTGCCCCGGGCCCGACTTGCCTGCGCCCGATTTGAGGATATCTGCTGCGGCGATCGAGACCGACTCCTTTTGCGATGCAGCGGCACCAGTCCGCTGCCACACTTCGCTGTCCTACCACTGTTCTGTCTCGGCCATTCCAGCTTTTGGCACAGATTGGCGTCGCTTGAGTCGTGTACCCGAGATCCAGCGACTGGACGCCGCGCTGGCTCCACAAGAGCCCCAACCGCGACATGTCTCGAGCACCACTCGCTGCCAACTGACCCGACCCGACCCGACCCGACTCGACCCGACATGGCTGACCCGAGGCGGTTCATTCCCGAACGGTTCGGTGGGCGGTGTCACTCAGACCTACAACTGGAGGTGCCTGAAGATACTGACGCTTGGTAAGTAGTAGGTATGGCTTCGTTCAGCGTATGCTTTTACCCAATTGCGGAATAGTATCTATTTATCCCAGTGATATCAGTATATGTCCATCCTACCCATATTTAGTATTCATAACGACTTTATATAGCAATGATCTGAGACGAAGTAAAAATATTTTCCTGTAATAATAAATAAATTATTTATCATTCAACTATTTTAAATGGCATGCCCCCGGCACCGTCAGAAATCGACGAAAATTTGTGTTTTTTGAAGAATAAAAAGAAAACTAAACAACATTTATATGAAAACTTTGTTTTAAACTACGCAGCAGTGCGTAAGGAACCGAAATCCGATGAGTTCTTGGATTTTGGAGAAACTTTTTGGCCACCCCGCAGCGTCCAAGATTGTCTTTCTGGATCCGCCAATGGTTTTCTTTATAGATCATGTCTGTTCACATCTCTTCCTTCAACAAGTTTGCCTGCACACTGATTTGTTCTTGCTCATTATGCATAAAGAAAGAACTTGAAATATAATGTATAGAAAAATCGGTCATGTTTAAATGAAATTACACAAAACCCGCATGAAGTCCAACCGGCGGCATTATGTCTGTCCTGTCCTTTTGAGACGATCAATACGGCAGCACGAGACGACATTCCAGTGTCTGGTATAGTTTGGCTACCATCCAAGAAATTCAAGGTATGAAGTGTTCAGAAGAGACTTTGCTGCTCTGTCAATACAGTAACGAGCGGCCTGGATAGGGAACCGACTCAAAGTTAACTGAAGGAGGGTCACGCAAAGGTTACGTTTTCTGTCGCAGCTGGCACGCGAATGCGATCGCAGGAAAGCTGACCACGCAATCAAGAGAATGGGCCACTAAGTGCGCTGGCTGGCTGATTACAAAGTAATGATGATAAATGAGCTGGAGCGCATTCAGCAAAATAATATGCCGAATGTAAGGAGCCGGCAATAAGCGCCATTATGGTTGAACGTGGAGTTGCCGCAAATACATGCAAACAACCGGGAGACGCTAAACGGAGCAAAAACGTGTGTTGGTATGAGCTGAATAACGTTCTAAATAATCAATTAATGGGAAAATTATTCACCTTTCCAGACAAATTGAAATTCGATAGCTACCTATTGGATTAAGGCATTCTTGAGCCATTCTTGATCGCTTACTCCTGTTTCTAAAGAGTGGGATAAGTGATGGCAACGCCGCCCACCCCTGACATCCTTTATACTTCATGACACCCAGTACCCACACCCAGAAATGTCCCAGCAGCAGCGCTCTCTCCAAAGTGGCCGCGCAAGGACACACCGGAAGCGGACCCACAGGGAGCGCGCAGCGACCGGAAGCAGAGGGCCGCCGCCCCGGAAGTAGGCTTCGCAGGGCGATTGGGCGCCGACCGAGCCCCGATAGGTCCGATCGGTGTCTTTGACAGGTGCCGCCAACGGAACCGTAATGGGCTGGGAGGAAAGAGAGGTGCGTGAAGAGGGCTTGGAGACGACAAGCGGTGGAGCGAGATAGCTTGCCGCACTTGTGCCGGTGACCTGTGGTTCCTCTGGTCACCCACCTGTGGTTTCTCTGGTTGGCCACCTGTGGTTCCTCTGGGACCTGTGGTTCCCATGGTATCCCGCCTGTGGCTGCTGCTCATTTCGAGGCTGGTGGGGCTGTGATTCCTCTGCTGGGACCTATGGTTCCCCTGGTTACTTACCTGTGGCTGCTGCTGATGCCGAGGCTCGTGGCGCTGTGGTTACCCTGGTTACCTACCTGTGGTTGCTGCTGATGCCGAGGCTGGTGGCGCTATGGTTACCCTGGTTACCCACCTGTGGTTGCTACTGATGCCGAGGCTGGTGGCGCTGTGATTCCTCTGGTGCCTGCCGGGTGGAGTGACGCCGGCAGCCTCCATCACAGCGGCCAGGTCCTCGGCACTGCCCGGAGTCTGCCCGACACAGGGGGAACAACTCGAGTCACAAATACGTCAGCATGGTGCACCGTCACATGTTAGCAAGGTGAGCCGTCACACATGAGCACGGTGCACCGTCATGCTTTGAGCATTCAAACTTTATGTACTTTATGTATGTATGTACAATCAAATATTTACTGTTTAAATTGCAGACGTTCGGCGCGCTGGCATTTATATTGTCTTTGCATTTGTTTCTGCACATTCATATTACATGCTCCCATGCCAACGAGTCCAAAGCCGACGAATTAACGAGGTCTGGCAGAAGATGCTTTGATAGGGCAGTTAACCCGCGGGGTTGTGTTCCAATCGATAGCGTAATAGGTTCGCTCTCCTTCTGTCAGGCGAAGGTCGTTGGACTAAACTGAAATCAATAGCATAACGACACGTTGCGACGTGGCCGGCGACCTTTCTGGATTATGCCAGCAAGGTACTGAATTTCGTTGAGAGCATGAGCCACTCTACCCTATGAACCACTACCGCTCTTTTTCTATGTCTATAGTAAGGTGAAACACTTTCCTTTGTCACACTAGCACTAGTGTAAGGAGAACGAGGAATCAGCAGTTTCACGGCAACCCGGGACGGCACTACTGGACGCTGCAATCTCCAGATGGCATATCTCGGAATTAAGGTGGTCGGGAATGACGTTCCCGGCAGTCAGGGATGACAAACACCCACTGCCAATGGGTGGAGCGGGGAGATGCCTCCGCAGCCGGCACCGCCATCCGCACCGAATCTGTCCCCGGTGACCCGAGCAGGAGTCCGACCCCTGCCAAGTTTTCGGATGCAGTGTGGGAGGTTTTGATGACGGTCTGTCCATGTCACCCACAGTGGATAAGAATGGGGCTGGCCACTCCGGTAGCATTGTGTAGGTCAACATGACCTTATAAAGTACCCTGTCAACCACCGTGCTGCAAAATGTCAACATAGATGAAAAATATCGCCTTTCAAGATGAAGGTCGCGACTGTTTTGCCTCCGTCGGCAGATGACCGCGTCCTTCGTAAGTCTTTTCGTGGCGATTTATGACAACGTACACAATTGATAAATCGATCAGATGCAGTCAGACCACGGTGTGGTGATCCTTATAAATGAAAAGAAATGTCTTCGATACTGAGCATGTGGGAGGAAATCCCGGTAGGCATGGTGAGAAGATACTGCCTTGCTCACACCTTTCCACCAGGGTAGGCACGGCAGAAGAGCGGTGGCCCACCCAGACAGGCACGGTAAGTGATAAACCACCCGTGCCCGCCTCCAGCTCAGGGGACCGTGGCAGCCACGCTCCGATTAGCGCGGCTCGTTCATGGATGGATTTCTGGAGCGTTCCGGTTCACATCCCAGCCAGCAGACACCTGTTGTCTGGATCCAGAAAACTATGATACCGACACCACTGCTGACACCAATTCAACACGTATACTGGCAGTGGTAACGCTTCTCTTTGACCTTTATTCATGGTGTCGGAGAAGACGGAGCGGTATATGTAATGGGCATTCGATCGATTCTAGACAGTATGATAGACGTTTGTGCCCTTCATACGGAAATTGGACGTCATTCATGAGATTTATTAATCGCTATACACAAGTGCCGCATGACTTGCACGCATTTACTATATATAGCGCCGAAAGTAAATTTATTTGAAATATTCATTTTAGATGTGCCTTAGCCCTTAGAAGTAGGTACCAAGTACCCATGCTTGAAACAATTTTCCAAATAAGGTCATTTAACTTGGACGTTAGATAGGCAGATATCAATTGAGATGTAGATGATTATAGATTTAGAGCAACTTGTCCACTTTCAGTGGTCAGAGTAAGTTATAAACAACAGAATAACTCAGAGAAATGAAGATGGCTGATGTTTAATTTAGTAAAACTTGTCATAAAAATAAGCATTTATGACTCTCGCAACATAACGAGTTGAAATAGAGGATGAGGAATGGAAAGCTAACAATGCGCGGAAGGTAAATCGAAATATTCAGTGGCACCTACCGGCTGTCGAAAAATGGCGGTCGGTCGACGTCGCACCGCGTCGATATACAGCGTGTCCATCTTTCTACGACCTGATCAACTGCACAAGGCCGCTCAAGGCAACATCACGCCGCGGGTGGTGGCACAAGTTTTGGTACACCGACGAAGGTTGCCACCACCAGTCAAATCAGGCAATGCTTGGTAATATCACCGAGTGCTTTGGTTCAGTCAATGTTGGTCCACGCAGCGCCATTGTAGCGATAAGGGAGATGAGGCAGAGGCCAGTGATGTTACATGGATGTCTGGAGATCAAGCGGAGGCCCGTGGGATCAGGTGGAGATTGAATGGGTCAAGTGGTGGTATGTGTGCTCAAATGAAGGACTAAATAATTAGAGGAAGACCCGGGGCATTAATCGGAGGCCCGAGTCAGTGCAGAGTCCGTGGGGTTGGATGGGTTTTCGTGAGGACAGACAAATGTCCGTGTGGTCAAGAGAGGGTCACTTGAGTCAAGGAAGGGTCACTGGGATTAAGGAAGGGTCACGGGAATCACTAAGGTCACCGCAAGTGCCACTGGGGTGCCGCGGGTGACAGCAGCGCCGGGGGTCACGCCAGGTCGCGCGGACACCAGCAACAGGTCACCACCGCCGGCCGACTGAGGTGGCCGTCGGCCGGTCGTCGGGGCCGACGGCGCGCCGCGCAGCGCCGACGCGTCGACATCGACGCAGCTGGGGAAGGAAGGGGAGGGCCCAGCGGCGAAGTTGGCCGGGATGGGAGGACTGTACATGTGCTAAGCCATCGGCAGGTGTGTAATAGGGAGGTGTGAGGCGGGAGGAGAACGAGCACCGGATGTCACCGTAAAACTTCGAGGGAAGGCAGTGGGAGGATGTGGGCGGCGGTCACCCGTTCGCTGCTTGTGCAGCCTCTTCCGTTTCGTCACCATCCTACCGCCTCTCCTGGATACGAGCACTGACAGCCACTTAGCCAGCAACCACCCAATACCATTTGACCGCATCTGACAACTTCAAGATAACCGTTCCACCGCCACAAATAATTATAATCCACTCATCCCACTTACCACCATCCCGCCGCCATTATGACGAGCTATGACCGTCCCACCGCACCGCCACATGACCGTCCCACCGCCATATATGATATATGACCGTCCCGCCGCGCATATGACCGTCCCACCGCACCGCCACATGACCGTCCCACCTCCATATATGATATATGACCGTCCCACCGCGCATATGATCATCCCACCGTCCCATATGACCGTCCCACCACCTCATGCAACAATCCCACCGCTTATATGACCGTCCCACCGCCATATATGACCGTCCCACCGCCCATGCGACCATCCTTTGTTTTGTTGGGTTAGGCCCTTTCGGTCGACAAGACCATTGCAGAGCCGGAAGGATGATAGGAATTAGGGAGAGACATTGGTCTGGGCAGGCACCCTAGTGAGTCGCCGGGGCTGTGCCCGTCCAGAGGACAGGCCACCCAGCCCCAAGGCACTCACTGCACCCGGCTACGGGGTGCGCTCCCTCAGGAGCAGCGGTGCCGCTCCAAGGGAGCAGCCCGCATGAGATAAAGTTGCCTGTCCAGCCCGGAGGGGGGTTGCGGCTTGGAGGAGAAGGATTTCAGTATCCTGAGGATAGAAGCACGGATAGGTGCGACGGAATTCGGATGTCAAAAAGCGCAGATACTGTGAGCTGGTGGACTATACATAAAAGACTTACCTACTGTAATTACCGACTTAACATCGCGAAAAACGAGACATCAGATACTATCTGAAGACATGCTCGGCAGTCCAGTGTTTGATGTCGGTCAAAATAAGATCGGTCATATTGTCGGGTGCAAGACAATGTCAGATCTATAATGCTTTCAGATATCGGACACTTCTCGTCGAGGCCTTTGAGGCGCCAGAGCAAATGTCGGATAAAGATATCATCAACAATCGCTCACCTTGATACTGCAGTATTCGACACAATCGGCCACACTATCGCAGCCCAAATATAGTTCGGTACTCACCCATACAGTAGGCGTGTCTGCACTTCACAATGCATATCTAAGGCAAACATCTTATCCGCGCAGGCCTGCAGATGTTCATGTTGTCACTTGACACTTTCTAGCAATGGCTGTTCGACCGGGGTTTGGAAATGGCACCAAGGTGCAATGTATGCTGCGGTCTGCAAAAAGTTTCACTGCAAATATTTGCTTCGATATCGAGTTCCTCCGTTAGCTCTCCCTGTCAGCGCTCCATGGCGGCTCGACCAAGAGGAACTCGTAGTAAAGAGAAATGGAAGACTATCATAATGGCATGAAGATCAATCGAACTATGCCAGTGTGCCCCGTGGGGACCACACCCACACCACAAAGTCCCTCTTCCCCCCCCCCCCTATCCGTCCATGGCCATGGCATTGGGCCGTCCCCGGCTCTTGGGACGCCGAATATGGAACCACGGACCCTCGTCCAGCATCCCCGCTGACCATTCCCTCGCAGCGGCGGCCTCACAGCACTATCCCGTGCCGATAGCCGCGAGCCCTGAGGACCAGGCCAGTGACAGAGCTATTTACTTATCCGCCACGGACAAAGAGCCATGTCCGTCAGCGGGCAAACAGTCGATGACGTCATACTGTTAATGTTGGCGACACTGCCGACTGTTGGCACTCGCCTGATGACGTCAGACAGTAGTTGCCAGTGGATCCTCGGCTGTGTGTGCACGGCACGAGTTGGTCACACAATCATGTTCATATATTTGCTTGGTCGGCAGAGTTGATAGATTCGTGTCGTATTGTACTTCCTTGACAGATGCTCATAGCTGCGCATGAGATAAAGATAATAAATTGCCAATTATCTGTATCAACGTGGGTGATTTCCTGAATGAGTAAATGCTCATTAAGCTGATTATCAGATGATATTTATTAAATAATTGTTATTTTTCCACATAACATTTGTTTTCTTATTATTCATACTTGCCTAAAATATATATTCACTTTTAATTACGGTACCATCCATGAAATGTCGTGGAGTGACGACGGTCGCAGTCCGATACATACTTAATTTATTTGTATGGTACCTACCGATTTCAGCTACCATACGAGTCAAGCTCGTGTGGGTAGGATATTGAATACGTGAGTAGGTCGTTGAGCATGTGGGTAGTACGCAGATCGTGTGGGTAGAACCTGGGTAGAACGTTGACGGTGCGGAGAGGAAATTGCATGCGTGGGTAGAACTCGTATGTGGGTAGAACGTTCGTAGGTGTAGGTTCAGAACATCGAACGCATCGGTAAAGCCCCGACTTTGTGATCGTTGTCTGCCGACTAAGCGCGGACCGACGATATGTGCTGTCACAGCACCAGTAGCATGCAGGCGCCGCACGCCCGGCGGGCAGACATATAGGTCAGAGGTCACAGCACAGCCGGAGTGGGAACGGCTGGCGCTCGATAGCAATGGTCGCCGTCGCGCCGGGTCCGGCAGAGCGCACCTGAGGTCGAGTCCGGCCACCTCAGACGCCACACAAAGTGTCAGGAAGCAAGGAGGTGCCACCTCCCTGTCCTACCCTCCCCGAGATCCTGAAACAATCACGAGAAAGCCGTATCAAATAACGAAGACTTTGTCTGCTGGGATGCGCGGCTCGTTCATGCCACATTTTCGTCGGGGATAAGGTGGCAGATGCGGTTTCAACTTGCATCCAGGAGACGGCTGCCGGCCGGCGACATGGAAACGAGTGAAGACGGCCGGAAAATTGGCCCGTCTCTGTCCACCTTTTCTAGCGAACGTGTCGTCTCTGTTCTGACCACATTGTCGGACTAATTATAGTGTGCTGTTGTAGTTGTGTGGCCGCTGCTGGTGATTCGACCCACCGCGGCAGGCTACGACCGTAACATCAGTTCGTGGTAGAGCTGAGATGGTCGTCCAGTCCGATATCTTTCGAGTCCGCCGGTCGTGACCCCGCCGGTCGACTGCGGTCCACTGCCCCCAGCGGAGCGATTTTAGCCGGCTCGTCACCGACAGACCAGGTGCCCGTGGCAGCCATCAGAGTTACGCGAGGACACGGGCCTACTCGGAAGCACCCGGCTGCTGCTGACTCGGACGTCTACGACCCAGTTCCCGACTCAAAGCGCGGCCATTACACTTCCTCTTTGTTGCTAATAATTCGGTCTTGGCTTCAAACAGCAGGAACCCCCAGAGGCCTGGTAACTTGTAACTTGGACTAGGAAGTATCGCGAGGAGTGGCGCACCACTGCCGCTGGGCCCCGCTGCCTTGGAAACTTTGCTGCATAGTTAGATCCATTTTTAAGATAAATTACGATGCAGCGTTACAGTACGAGGAGCATCCAAAGTCACGAATCTAAGTAGCATTGTTTGACAGGTACTTGTATAAATTTGTTTTTCATTTGTTGAATTGTTATTCAATGCAAGTTGCAATGCAAATATGAATGATTCAAATAACTGTAATTGGCTTGGTGCATTAAATGCCGCATGTCAGCATATTCGTGAGCATATTTCAGGCAATTGTTTGCAGCTACGGTTCTAGCAAAAAAACTAATGCAATGGAAGTGTTACTGCAGATAGAGATCGTCATTAATCAATCCTCGCAGAGCTTCCACCCTCCTTTCAAAGTCTGAGTTCGTCTCACTGTTTCCCGATTTATAAAGTTTCCGTTTAAGCATGTTCAGCATGGGCCAGCCGAGCGGTCGGACTGTGACAGTCTTCCATGACGTGGTCTAAAAGAACGCCTCGCTATGACGTGGGCTGGAAGGATTGTCTACAAAGTCGTGGACTAAAGAGACGGTTTGCTTTGCTGTGTGGACTGGCGCATGGCAAATACATACTCTCTCGTAGATAGACTGCCTATAACTAGATAAATAGATAGACGTTGGGCAGTTGCAGACATAACTGGATAACTGGATAACTGGACAGTCAGTCTGCCTGTAGCGTGCCGAGTCACTGCTCCCGAGAACGCCAGCTAATGGCAGTCGAGTTCTCCCTAAGGGCTCCCCGTGTGGCTGCGAGTGGCTGCGCTGGGGCCAGGAGCCCTCCCGCGGAGACGGCGAGTCTCCGCGGCTCACGACTCGCCGAGGGAGGGGGGGGGGGGGGCGGCAGTGACGCTGCAGCGTCACTGCCGAGCCGAGCCCACTGACGGTTCGGTTCAGGACTGGGCCAATAGAGACGCAAAGTTACGGGCTACCTACGTAAAACGTGTGGACTGAAGTGTTGAAATGCAATAGCTTATGTACAGTTTTCAAACATAATAGGTAAGTTACTTCGTGCTTTTATCTGCCTACAATCTACATATTCTATCATTCTATTTTTGGCAGCTTTCATGTTTTTATCAAAATCCAAAATTCAAGTTTTTTTCATTCCAAATAAAAGTACCAAAAGAATATACGTTATGGCTTCTTAAGCAAATAATGCAACTGACACTACCCAGAGCAACCATGGTACCAATCTGCATTAGATACATCCGATTGAAATTCGATTTACCAGAGCCGTCGTTAACCTTCGCCCTGGTGGGGGGGGGCCATTTTGGCCCCCCCCTGTGGTTTTTCAGCGATAACTCAGAAACCACTTGAGTTAGCGC